TATGTTTTTGAACAACACTGGATAAGTTTGGATTCTTTTGTAAGAAGAAACTCAGGAGTCACAGAAACTCGATACCCAGCTCTAATAAGCAGCGCTGGTTTACTGAATTTAAAATTTGATCCACTGACTCTGAAGTGTTTCACTACTAAACATGGAATGAATGTGTACTTTTCACTGACACAAGTTCCTTTGATACACACAAACACAAAGGTCTCTCTTCTGTGATGGCACTGTATCAATATTATGTTCTCTCCACCCAGCTCTGTTCCTGTTTGCACAGCCCAGTAAATGTACCCACCTAGTAATCCCTAATGGAGGAAATCCCAGGCAGTGGTTATTCTCTGCTCCCTCTCCCTCTCTCTCTTTGTAATTCACACATACTTTTTCACTCTGTTTGTCTTTCACAGACACGCTGTGTTAAACTTGTTAAACTGACTTCACTCTCCGCTCATCTGTCGCAGTGTGGAAAGGGCTTTTTCACACAGGAAGATCCGTCATCAGGTTTTCTCTTTGTGTCACTTTCGACCCTCGCTTTCATTTCACCTCTGTCTGTCTGTCAAACTCCTTCTGTTACTTCCTGTCTGTGAGCCTCAGGTTCTGGTGTTTGTGTACCTGCACACATGCTCTCTTGCTTTCACCCCACTTAAACACTGGTTTCTGGATCAGCGCTAGCCTGAGTGATCTTGGGTGTCTTGTTTATACCTCCTCTGGGAAAACAATCATGCCTTTCCCTGCATTCAGACATGCACAAACCCTGCAGACATAAAAATACATGTACAGTACTGTGTATATACACTTTCTGTTGTACATACAACAGAGCCGTCCAGAAAAGCCAGCCACAACTCCTTCAGCCATCAGAAACATAAAGTTTCCATCATAGAGATGTTATGAGGTCTGTTGTATAACATGAATATGACTTGATGTTGACAGCAGTCTGTTATGACGTAGGTCTGAATCATGTGTCACGGTGCCCTAATTTCCCTCTGTTAGTCTGCTTAATGTCCAGCCAGCCGGCGTTGGTGTTTTCTAAGGAGTAGCCTACTCTGTGTGGGTGAGTAAGTGAAAAACAGTGAGCTCACAGGGAGGGAAGCTCTAATACTGAGATAAGGAAGACAGAGTGTTGCATAAAGTGATGGGTGACGGACAAAAATGAGCTGGGTCAGGATCTTGCTTCGGGACAATGGTCTTTCACAGAACTGAGAGCAAGAAAAGAAGCAGACACACAAGTTACAACTTCTTTTAAGGGAAACGTGGTGACAGTCGGATGGGTACTGACAAAGAGGAAATCATAGAGGAGTAAGAGTGGAGGTGGAGGGAGAGCAGCAGGGTTATAGTAAGCTTATTCCAAACATGTGCTTTTGCCATTTAAGCATCTAGTCGTCAGAGCAGCCAGTGCAGCTCACATACACGCAAACACTTATTCAACTTCTGTCTTTCATTACGCCTCTGAGCACCTTCAGTGCTTGGCTTTATTTGGTGTGTAATTTGGTCAAGGCACGTTAAGTTCTGGGTGATGTAGAAACAAGGATACCCCTTTATTTGGTCTGCTATTGAGCGATTATCTTTATTTTCTGATTACTTTTTTTTACCCCCTTCAACTCAGCTTTGCCTTCGTCTCCTGTTTTTCCTCATGCCTCTTTTATTTATATAATTGAATTATTTATATAATTCAATTATATATTTATTTATTTATATTTAGGGGAGGCTCTGGCTCAGATGATAGAGCGAGTTGGCCGTTAATCGGAAGGTCGGCGGTTCAGTCCCTGGCTCCCCCAGGCCACATGTCGAAGTGTCCTTGGGCAAGATTCTGAACCCCAAATTGCCCCTGGCGGCTGTTCTGCCAGTGTATGAATGTGTGTGAAGGTTATTTTTTGTTTGAGCACTTAGGCTCAGTGTATGAATGTGTGTGAATGGTGAATGCAGAAATAGTGTAAAAGTGCTTTGAGTGGTCAAAAAGACTAGAAAGGCGCTATACAAATACGGAGCATTTACATATTTGACAAGTAACAATTTGTATGTTATTGTATAGAAAGTAACTGTGTATGTGTTCTTTGTGAGTGAACTGAACTACTTTGTTGTGACTTCAATACAGTACAGCAATATGACCTTCATTTCTGAGAATTGAATTTAAGCAATACAGTTTTCTGTCTTGTGCAGAATTTATGCCAAACCAGGCAGCATTTCGTTTTTTATTAACATTCCCAGTTTATTAAAAGAATTTAAGTCCTTTGAAGTTGGAAAATGTCCATCCTTGACACAATCTTTTACACTTGCATATGGCTTAGTTTTTTTTCCATTTTTTTTTCAAAATGACCAAACTATCATGGTCTTTCACAAAAAGAGACATATTTGCCGTGCACAGTGCTTATGAGCATGGAGTTGGAGGACTATTTGAGAGGTGTCAAACACGTTGTCAAAACCAGTTTGAAGAACTTTGAAACTCATTGATATTTGATGAAACTGTCAGTGTGGGTGATGTGTGATGTGCAGTTTTAATGTGGGTCATGTCTCACAGGGCAGCAGCTTGAGAGGTTTTGCTGACTGAAGCTAATTTAGAGTTGTGGTGTTCAGAGTCTTAATGACATTTGTAGCTGGTTTATAGGCTCCCGTTTGTGGTGTGCCACTGGAGTTCGCATGAATGAAGACAAATAAGACATCTGAACTCATTGTGATGGGATTTTTCACACTTTTCTTACATTTTGTACTTCATACATTTCCTGGTCGGTATTGAATATTTTGGGTTTTGGACTGTTGGTCCAAAACAAGACAGTTTATTACGTCACCTAGGAAACTGTTTAATGGGTGGTACTTAACACAATAAGGTACATAAATAGTCCTCCATTTGGAGTTATTCACTAACTGATTATTAACGATTCATTAATTATCAGGTCATTCCTGATTCATTCCTTTTTTCGTTCCTTATTAACTACTCACAATTTTAGGTACAGTATTGTAAAGTGGCACTGCTTTTTTTATTTCACTATTTCCTGACATTTTAATGGAGCAAACGATTAATGGTAACAGGTGAATCAAAAATGTAAATGATTACAAAAGGCTTGGTAATTGCATATACTATATATTACATAATTGAATGTAGAGCCAAAATGATCAATTTGTCAATTGGCAGAAAATGAATCTCCCTGGCTAGCTCTATTTTGTTTGATTACAATGCAAACCACAGACCCAGATAACAAAAACCTCTATATCATGTTTGAGCACAGTCTGCCCAGTTTCTGTGTGCTGCCGGGGGAAGTACTGATCTGTGACAATCCTGTCAACTTTCCATGACATCTGAGGATTCATTGTGTTATACACTATCAAATATACCTTAACACACTGAGACTGCCTGGTGTGTTACAGTCCTGTCACAGGACGCTGCTTGTTCAAACAGCCATCTGAGCTCAGCAGTACCAGCGTGTGTTCTGAAGCCCACAAAGACTTTAGTGTAAAAAGTTCACCAGCAGCTGTGGACCAATTAAAATCACCACTCACCACTCCCTAACCCAAAACGGTTTGATGCGTGCGCGCACACACACACACACACACACACACACACACACACACACACACACACACAATGATAACAGCTGGAGAGAGTGGAAGCAATCAGTAAATAATTAATGATAATTGGCTGTACCCATTCATAATTGATACCTCCAATTACCACTAAGAGGCCCCATCTGAATTTCGAGTATGTGCGTGTGTGTTTCAGTGTACCCAGTAGTCTTATATATGTCACAGAAGACCATGTGTGCATGTCCCATCTGCTGTGTTTGTTGCTGTTTTTTTTAAAAGAATGTTATGAACTATCTTTTAAGGGGTGATGGAGATTAGATGCGTGTTTGTGCTGTAAACATGCATTCTCTCTTTCTGACACGCATAGTAAGTCATCCATTCGCTGCCTTCCAAAATGTTATCTCCACTTGTAGCTGTACAGGCAAGAAACTCCTCTCTCTCCTGATAAACAAATGGAGTACGTGCTCCAGATTCAACATGCTCCCTTATCATAGGTGTTGTCTGGAAATAATCACAGCATACATTCACTACTGAACAAGAAAAACACGGCTCAAGAACAGCTGGATCGAGCTTTCTCAGTCGCAGCCCCTAGACTGTGAATGAATTGCCTCTCTTCATGTCAGACTGGCCCCCAGCCTTCCGTTTTTTAAATCATGACTTAAAACTAATTTTATTCCTCTGCTTTTAATCTGGGATGAGAGCTATATGTTGCTGTTTTGTTGTGTATTTTGTATATTTATTTATTCATGTCAATGTACAGAACTTTGGTCAACCTGGTTGTTTTTGAATGTGCTTTAGAAATAAAGTTGGATTGGATTGGAAGAAGTTTGTAGATTCTAGTTGGGATGTTTTTTGTACTCTGTCTTGTCTTGGACATTGAGGACTCAGGATTTTATTTCAAGACCAGTCAAGACCATAACTTTGGGAATAACAATAAATTGCTCTTGCATTGTTTGATTTATTTGTTAACATCCTAGCTTTGATTGTTTGTAAAATGTTGTTACATTCCCCGCGATGTTAAGCATGGAAAAGGATCATTGAATAAAGATGCTTATGTTGATTTCAGCTCTTCAGGTGTACAGTGTTTGTACGTGGGTGTTTTAATGGGAATGTGGATCTTTCAGATCAATTTGAGAAGTACCTAGGATCTCGTTCCACATTTTATTGTGTGTGGGGAACTGGTCTTGACTTGGTCTCGCCCTCCCTGGGTCTTGGTCTCAACTTGGTCTCAGCCCCTAAAAGTCTTGGTCTTGTCTCGGTCTTGATAAACTCTGGTCTTGGTCTTGATTTGGTCTCGGTTTGGGCGGTCTTGACTACAACACTATTCGATACCAATACCAGTGAAATTCCACAATTCCTGATACCAAATTCGATACCACGTAATAAACATACACTCCTTTTAATAAATTCTCTGGTATAGTAAAATAAAATAAAAAAACAACAAAAAACAGCGTATTTATTTAAAACTAACAACATTACGACAGATGACACAGACTGGTAAGCGGTTTGGAAGGCAGCCTACTACTACGAGCTATGTTTACATTACGTTAGCCTGAACACTGATGCCATTGCGAACGTTGTATGTTACATAGTTGGCCAGGCAACAAAGCAATGCCAGTTGTCTCAAACAAAAATAATAATAACACAAAGTACTTCTATACACAGCTTTTAGACAAGTCAAGGTGGAGCTGTTGCTGCTGCTGCTCTTGTCACCATCTTCCACGTGTTGAATCCCCATTACCTAGACTACCTACAGTACCGACATGTTTTCATAATTTTGGTATCGTGTTTGGTTACTCAGTGTCAGTTCTCGGGACATCCCTAAATTCTAGATTGGCAATGTGCAGCCATGCAACTTATGTATTCATTTATATTCCTCCTTTTATAAAAGTAACAATAAAGCAAGGCTTTAATATCTGGCTGTGACAAAGTATATAATGTTAGATTGTCATGTTTTTCACACACATCTGTGGTTTTACAATGAGTGTTGTTCAGCAGAATTCATCAAGTCAGTCGTTTATCAAACAAAAATGTTTATCAATCTGTTTCCAGCATCATAAATGTGGAGATCTGCTGCTTTTATTTGTTTTTTGTTTTAATCATTGTAAATGATAATAAATAAAAAATACTCAAATATATATGGTCATAGGGCCTTATATTTATATTTATTGTTTTTGGGGGGGTTTTCACAGTTGCTGTAAACCCTGCAAGTAATTCTGTCATCAAGTAGTCATTTGACAGTTTTTGAGTGTCATTGCGGTCTTCCTACACATAAATAATAGCCAACTCTCTCCCATTCTCTATCCACACATTCCTGCAGATCACCACTCTGATCAACCATAAAGACAAGCCAAAGAAGTCAGAGCGCACCCTTGCAGCCATACACAGGGTGGGTCAGGCGGTGAGCGTGGCTGTGGGACGTTTTGTCGCCGTCGGGGAGGCCATCGCCACAGAGAACCAAGAGCTAAAGGATGAGATGGGTCAAGCCTGCTTTGAGGCACGCAGAGCAGGTAGGCGTCTTTGGCTGGATCTTAATATGTGCAGCACTCAAACTCAACACAAGTGTTTCTTTCACAAATTTATGCTGTAAAAGGGTGAGGGTGCTTCATCCTAAATGCTTCTTCATAGTGGCTATGTTCCTGTCAAGTGCATGGCCATGGCTTTATGATCTTCCCGAACTGCCAATGAGGATGTTATAGTTGGTTATCCAATGAGACTTAAGTTAATGTCTCCATCAGTGTTTATTTGTCAAGACAAAGTGAGAGTTTCATAAAGCATCAGGCAACACCTTCAGGTTTCACTGTATTATCAAATTTTAGCAAATTTCAATTTGTGTATACGGCCTGGCTGTCAAACAGTATTAAACCCCAGGATCTCCAGAGTGTTCTAAAGACATTGTTGTTATTAGGTTGAAAGTAAAGGCTGGGGAAAAAAAAGCTTTTTTCACCCAAGGGTGCTGTGTAGAATAAATGTGTCTGCACCGGCTTGGAAAGCACAGCATAATAGATTGTGATAGAAGGCTGCTGGAGACTTATGCGTCAGGCAGTTGCCGAGATTGAAGGAGTTGTAGTTTTCCCGATATTCACTGCCTTATAGATTGCTTCTGTGTTACGTTGAGAAATATTTCTCAACCTGAAGTCAGGACCCCAATTTTGTCCCACATTTTGAATCCAATCTGCTGGCTGGGTCTTTTTTTTTTTCTTTCTCTTTACTCCTTATATCTGCATTACTGCAGCTTCTTTCCCGTTCTAAAACTTGCAGGTTAGGTGATAGACTATTAATCTGAACAGACTGTAGTCTTGCCCAATGTGTGCTACAAGAAGCCCCATCTGTCTGGATGTTTGTGTGGATGTATCAAGTGTAAAACAGTAAACAGCTGACAGAGACAAAGAGGTACTGAGGGTTGCAGTATATTGGGAAACTTAGTTCTTATCAGGCAAAACAAGGACCTCATTTAGCCTTCTCCAGAGCAGAGCGGAAACAATATCACATTGGATAAGAATTTAGACACAACACCGTGATAATAGGTTTATATTGGGGGAACCAGCAAAGCGTTTAATCCTCACACAGCTCGGATTTGTAAAGACGGCTAAAACTCAGACAAAAAGAGAGAGCTGGTGGGAGGAGGAGAATAGACTGATGGGAAAATGTATGTGTGCGCACGCGGGTGCGCAAAGGTACGGCTAAGTAAAGTATATTCGTGCATTTGTGTGTGTGTGTTCATGTGCAAATGTCTGGTTGTGTGTTGTCCACAGTGACTAATTTATTTAACTTCTCACTTTCCTCTTTGGGAGGTGTTTTCACAGTTTTCCCTTGCACTTCTCCTGGCAGACACTGTAAAACTGTTTCCAGATTAAAAAAACAACAACTTTTTGTCTGGTCTCTGATCATTTTCTTTAGAAATGATGGAGACATCTTCAGGGATAAAAAAGACTTTGCAGTTTTTAAGTCTACGGGAGAGAGAATGGCTAGTTATCGAAGGACTGACATTTCTCTAATACCTTGCTGCAGGGAGAGCTTAATCAGGCAGGCTTCAGCCTTGTGTGCTATAATGAATTAAATAAAGGCAGGCTGAAAGCACTAGTTTAATTAGATGCTACCCATCATCAGAGCAGTGGAGAGATCCAATGAGGCAGGTCAGTGAAGGCAATCTGTGTTGGATCTCTGTCTCTGTCTCTTTCACTCAGTTTCTCAGTGTCATTCTCACATCTGCGTGCTTCTGTCTCACTTTCTCTTTCTCCTTCAGAAAGATTCAAGATACGATGCTAGTTGGAATCAAAATCAAGTCATAGCACATACTGTATGTGAGTGTTTAAATACTGGACTACATGTGGACTACACGGACAGGGCAATAAGTAGGCCTGGGCGAAAAATCGATTGAATGAATTTATTCGAATTTTTTGTTGCGGGCGATTTAAAAAATAAGTAAATCGAGTTTTTGTGTAATAGCACATTTTTGGCTCCCCGGGGTTTCCGTAGTGTTCGTTTCCCATAGCGACAACATCATACACTAAACAGCAACAGCAAGCGACAAAATGGCTACCGGTGAGAGCGGGAAGTTTGTTCCCAAGAAAGGAATAAAGTCATCTGTTGTTTGGAACTGGTATGGGTTTGCTGCGACAGATGTGGAACAACAGACACCACGCTGCAACATTTGCCTAAAGCCTATCGCAGTGAAAGGCAGCAGCACCACAAACCTTTTCCAACACCTGAAACAGAGACATCCAGCCGAATATGAAAAATGCCAGTCTCTCCGCGATGAACAAAGCCGCACTGACCAACAAACCTTATTGCTTTCCTTAAGTAGGGGGGGAAATCGGAAAAAATCGTAAATTGAATTAAAAAAAATAAAATCAGAGATTTTATTTTTAGGCCATATCGCCCAGCCCTAGCAATAAGTTAAGGAATAAGCCTCTAAGCATACCCAACACAAGGTTGGCCTTTTTAAGGTTTACACTCATTTCTGAAGTCTACAGCAATGATAGCAGTTTAGTGAGGCTGTTCTGAGGCACAGCGGTGCTTAGAGCTAAATGCTAACATGCTGATGTATAGCAGATTTATGGATCTTAGTTTGGCATGGTTAGCATGCTAACATTTTCTAATTAGCACTAAACACTAAGTATAGCTAAGCCTGATGGGAATGGCATTAGTCTTGAAGGCATTAGGTCATAAACTAAAGTATCAGACAGGTCAAAATGTTTGACTGATAATGGCGCTCCACGTTCCAAAGTTAAGGAATCCCCCAAGTTTGTACAATTTATCCTGAGGGGAACATGAATATCTGTACCAAATTTCATCGTAATCCTCCGTCAGACAGACAGACATTGCCATCTATTGAGTCATCCAAGACTGACTGCCTGCAAGCACTGTACCAACACATCAAGGATCGCCCTTTCAAGTTTTCACTTGTGAATAATAAATTGATTATACAGAAAAAAGGAGAGTTCAGTATTTCTGATACATGATTTTCCATGTAGGAACAAAACCACTTTACAACAACAGAAGATTTGAAGGCCACGAGTACATTTGATAAGTAAGGGGGCAGTGGGAGGATAGCTGTTTTACATTTAAGGTCATGAAAATTCATACTCTAGTCCATACCATCCATATTCTGGTGATTTTAGACAGTTGGCTCCCTCTGCTTTCCACCCTGGTAGTGTCACAGGGGGGAGTTGAGCAGCATTCTTTGTGAGCCAGGCCTAGATGTTTTAACTGGTGGTTAGCGGAGCTGGCACTGAAAAGCAGCCTGTCGGATGCAATCAGTTTGTCGGTGCTGCTTCTTTTAAAAGACTAGCCAAACCCCATAGACAGCCAAGCTGCATGACCTGATAGAGGTCCAGCTATCTCCCCTCCCCCCTCCCTTTCTGAGCTCTCTTTCTCTGAGATTTCTCTCCTGATCCGTCTCGCTCTTAACGCTGGACATTTTCCTCTTGATAGGTAGGTACTATTTCGGTGATGGGTATTCAGCCTAAAACTCCGTATTCTTCCCTTTTTGGGGCTAGTATGAGCAGGATAGAAAGAGAGAAACAGGGAATGCTGGACTATTTATTTATAAATATTTTCAAATTTGCATATTCACTATATAATTCGTTTGTATAAGAATTTGCTCTACCCCATAAATAGCTCACATCATCCAGAAAGCATACCGGTAGTGTTTGGGTAATGCTGGCATAGCTGTCGTACCACTGTGCTGAATATAGTACCCTAGTGTTTCATCCTGTCCAGGACACTCTGTTCTCCCAGTGTTGAAGAGTGGCAGATTGGAAGAACACTGTGCCATGGTGTTGTCTGAACTAACTTAGAGGGCATTCAGGAAATCATCTGGTTACCATCCATCCTTCAGTTTTCTGCCTCTTATTTGGGTCCAGATCACAGTGGCAGCAGGCTTTCTTTCTCATTTTTGATAAGCAATACCTGTTTTTTTTAAAGATTTGTACTGAGCAGTACATTTTGCAGTTGAAAAATAAACGTTTAAGTGCTTTCTAGTTGATGTAATGTATTTAATGCTGTTTCTAAATGCGCTTGGACACATCATGTCTGTACTGCTATTTCGTGTTACCAAAATTTTGTTATAATGGCACAAATTAAACTGTCTAGATCAAGGTGATTAGAATATGCACAAGCCTAGGAAGAATGTAATACAAATGTCCCCACTTACAGTTAAAACATTGTGTTTTAGTTGTCATGTTTGAAGTTATTTTTGATCTAGGGCTGAACGATTTTGGAAAATAATCTAATTGCGATTTCTTTTTTTTACCAATATTGCGATTGCGATTTAATATGCGATTAATTTTTAAGCTCTTTACTTTCTGTATTATTCAAAATGGACAAGCAATAAATCAGTGTATAGAATGACCAACACAATATTAGATAGATGGAACCTACACTGTTCTTTCTTGTGGGTCAGGCCTGTGTTATGACGAATTAGGTAGAATTATTATTATGAGCAATGGTGGAGAAGATATATCAAATTATAATAACATGAACATTAAATAATATGATATAACATCATCAGGTCGGCCTACCTACAGACTACAAGAAAAAGTAAGTTCACCACAGTGTGTTATACAGTAAGAGCTCAATAGAAAACCCACAGTTCAACCACCAATGAATGAGTCTTTCAGACTGGGCCTCTTTCGGACTTGTGAGTTTGGTTTGAAACGCCATTTCACAGATATTTTCTGAGCTGACTGGTGACTGTGTGTGTGATGCAGGTGCCACAATACACTTACCTTACTACACATGTCTTTCTGTTCTGCATTTTTCCTGTCGGTCAAAGCCGCAGATGGCCCGACGATTTCGCCCACCACCACCACCAAGTTACCTGTGGGTGGCGGGTGCTACTTTCATTCCCTGTGTGACACTAAAGTTTATGTAGTGTCAGCTTCTGTCAAGCTTAAGGCCATTGTACAGCAAGAAGGCAAGGTACAGCGTAACGTGCAGACAAAGCATCAACTGCAGAATGCTTTCCTGTTGGGTGTCAAGTGACCAGAGTGTAATAGCAGCCTTTGCGATTAGAAAATCTCGTTTTATTACATTGCGGTAATATCGCATAATGCAATTAATCGTTCAGCCCTAGTTTGATCCCAGTGAGATCCAGGCAGTGAGGAAGCTTTATATAGATTTTAAAATTGGGAAAAAGAGACCACTGGTATGGGATACAGTACAACGTATCGGCAGATAACCAGTTTAGGTATACAAATCAGTAGCAGCAGAGAAAAAGTTGTATTGTTACATTCGTATACACCAATAAAAAATATCAGACATGTACAGTTTATCAGTCTGGCTCTGTTGCTGAACCAAACTGTACCCTTCTCTCCTCTCTTGCAGGTGATGCCATAGCCCAGCTGACAGATGTGGGATCAGCCGTGCCGTCCCAGTTAGACGGACGCGTCACTGTGTTCAGTGATAGGACAGGGATGGTGAAGGCTGCCCGCTTGCTTCTCTCCTCAGTCACTAAAGTCCTGGTCTTAGCTGACCGCATTGTCATCAAACAAATAATCACATCACGCAACAAGGTGAGATATGCAAATGCAAGATGGCATATCCATTTAAGATTAGGCATAAACTCTCTCTTGCTTAGTCTCTCTTACACACACAGACACACAGACACAAAATACACCCTCACACACACACCTTAGCAAACTCCATCTTGAGTACTTCATTTCCTAATAGATAAGCACTGGCTCTCTGAAAGAGGGCTCTAGAGGTAATTGAAGGGAAGCAGCACATTTAGCGACCGCATAAAAACACAGAGTGAGACACTGTCTCTCTCCATTGTACCTGGCTATGCTCTTAGCCAGACAGTGTGATATGGATGCAGCTGTAGACTGAGCCAAGAATGGAAACGGGGCCTAATCGTGACTGGTTAGCCTTGTTTGGACGGACAGTCGACAGCCCCCTGTTCTCCATTACTGGAAAACACAATTATATCTCTTCCTCCTCTTTGTCTGGTATGGATAAAAGTAGATGCATTTGCACTGCCAGCTAGCCTACCCTCTGCAAATAAATTAGCAGCTACAAAGACTACTATTAGCTAAAGTGCAGGTTAGGAACTACTTAATCCGCTTATTTTATTTAAGGATATAACTGATATAATTACATCATATTGAGCCATTAATACTACAAAAGACAGCGCTGGAGTAACACATAAATTGGATGTAAAAACCCACAGTTCTCTTGTAAGGAAAGGGTTCTCTCTTGGGAAATAAACATGGTATATGATATTCTCGGTTGTTCAAGAGCAGTGTTTGTTAGGTTGCCACAGTGTGGAAGGGCTACAAGAACACCAACCACTCCGCCATTCAGTTGATTTTATTTTATTTTTTACTCCTCTCAGGTCCTGGTTACACTCGACCATCTGGAAAGAGTCAGCACCTTCCAGGAATTTGTACAGATTTTCAGCCAGTTTGGCAATGAGATGGTGGAGTTTGCCCATCTCACCGGAGATAGACAGAACGTGAGTAGTGTGTGAAGAAACCAGCGCTCACCGCTTTTCAGTTTTAAGAGTGTTAAAATCATCAGCACCCTGTAAATTTCTCTCAGTAAATGAAATGTAAATGTGGTCTAATTTTGCTGCATATGGTTATAGTGATGGTTATGAACATGCAGTAATTTGTCTCTCTGCAACACTGAGCACATTATTTATTCATGCAGATGTAATCTTCTAAGAAGCAGATATTTTCTAAACATGGTATTCTGAATGTGCAAGCAAGTGGTGGAATTAGACTGTGAAACCTGCCGTACTTACATAGGCAAATCAATAATTCAAGCGTCAAACATTCACACTTCCCAAAAAAATCAATCAACAGTGAAGTAACAAGGAGTCTTCAGGCGTCTCTTGTTTCCACACTGTTTCCTTATTCCATTCTGTGTATTCATTTTTTGAATCCATGTCTCAATCCATAAGAGAAATGAACAGGTCAGTTGTGACTCATACGCCACAAACACTGTTTACATCACGAATCAGTGTTGATATAACTGACCTATGCTTTCAGGAACGCATTCTCTTTGCAATGTATCAGTTTCTATCCTAGCAAATTTGCTAAACAAAACTTTTGCTCAAAGCCTCACAAAAACAGACCAACTTAGGGCTTCTTACTTTGTTCTGTCAAGGACTGCTAATCCTACTTTGATGCATACATTCAGCCTTTGCAACTAAAGCGCTTTGCCTGCAGAAGCTGATGCAAAGTGCAACGGCTGCAATATCTAGACAGGGAGAGAGGATCGACCATCATTCTTTCTGAACTTCTTCGGGGGCCCATGTTTTGACACGCACATCATATCTCTCACCAACGCTAATGCTCTTTCTCCTCATTTACCACCCTAATCTTTTTTTTTATATTATTCACTCCCACTCATGCACATGCAAGCACACAGCCCTTTAGAAAATCTACCATCTTCATCTGTTGAAGCACAGAGGCAAAAATATTGTCTTCTATGGCAAAGTGATGGCAGAGGAGTTGTTTCAGCTGCCTTTTCCAAATCCCCTATCTATCTAATCCCAGCTGTCTATTTCTGTTTGGAATACATGGAGGGGTCATACACGCTGTGTCTTCTTTCCTATTCTGAGAGCTCTTTTTATTTGATTACAATTAACCTATGAAAGGTTTGTGTGTGTGTAGACTTGGAGAGGAATCTCGGTAACATTTGTGTGTCTCTTCATACCAGCATAAAAGAGATTTGTTGCATACTATTGATGTCCTTCAGACACCCCAAGAGTTCTTAGAAGTTGCAACTGGAGTAAAGCCACCCATTACCATCTGGGTGTGTGTGTGTGTGTGCTGTAGGACTTGAAGGATGAGAAGAAGAAAGCACGGATGGCAGCAGCCAGAGCAGTGCTAGAGAAATGCACCATGATGCTCCTCACAGCCTCCAAGGTAAGCAGCTGGCACACCAACAGTAGACCTCTGGGCAAAGGGTTATGGATTATGTCTAGTTTAGTATTATGTCAAGATTCACAAGTTTATTTAATTTCAAGGTTTTTTCAAATGCTGTAAGCAGTGGTAATACTCAAAACTCAGTCACGTAATCATAAAAAGTGAGAGAAGAGAGTGAATAATCATAGTTGAAAAACAAGACAAAGGACAGAAGTTTTAAAAGAGTAGCGGAGTGCTCAAGGTTTGACATTTCACATCGAATTCCCTCCAAAGACTTGCCTGAGGCACCCAGATTGCGAGTCAGCACGGATCAACAAAGACGCCGTGTTCCACCGAATGCGTTGTGCCCTGGAGCAGGTCATCGAGATAGTCACTGAGGCACGGAGCTGTGGGGAGAACAAGATCCTTCCTGCCAGCATCTACAACGGCATCAAGGACTTCAAGGTAGGGTCAGAAATTAGACTTAGTGGAGTAGTCGATATATCTTACAGTAAAGGCTTAAGATTAGGGATGCCCCTCTGACAGCTGTTGGCCCATGAAGTTAAGTAATGATCCTCTTGTGGCTGAAGTGTCATGCTGAATAAATTTTTTTATTTTATTTTATTATTTTTTTTGAGTGCGCTTAAAAATCGCTGTAGCACAGCCTTTTGAAAAATGGCAGTGACATATTCTATTGATATTAATAAGAAAATTTAAGCAGAAATCATTAAATCACAATCTAATTGTGGCTCTGTGTGAGTGTTGGAGTGTGTGTGCAGCATTCACTGTGTTTGTTGCAACAGCTTCATGTGCAACTCAGAGAATCAACACGGAGGACCAGCCCAACCTATTTTATAATTTTGGTCATACAGTTGTGTGAATCTCCATTAAACCTACATCACCATGAATAATCTCCTCTGTCCTTCTTGTACACTGGCAAATGAAAGCGATAAAAAACAAACAAATGTGAAGGGTCTTTTCCATTGAGATAAAAGAAGAAGAAAGTATTTTAATGAAAGGACCCAGAGATGTGTATTGCTTAATAAATGGCTTCATAGCTCTTAATGACAGAGTTTAACTAAAAGCTTATGTAAACCTGTCATCTAAGGACACATAAGCAGAGGAGATTACTTCTCTTAAAAACATATCTTTGTTAAAAAAAGACAGGAGAAGGCTGAAACAGGAAAAAATGCATCAGCTTTTATGTTTGTGTACTTGCTGTTTGCAGAATTTATTGTGCATCTTCGATGGCCCCAAGGTGACTCAAAGACTAAACCCATAGTCAAGAGTCAAGAGTATAACGATAATGAGATAGTAAATTATGTTTTGTTTTTTTTCATTAGGACATTTGTTAGTAAAACGTCTGTGTGTGTTGCCACCTCAGTCTTTTCCTTTCTCTTAACAATCTTTCCCAACCCTCCTCCCCCTCTCCTGCAGTCCAGCGTGGAGTGCCTGCGGGAGAACCTGTACTCCTTGTCACCACAGAGCATGGGCAGTCAGCTGGAGGCACTGGTGGAGCGGACAGAGGACTTCACTGATTCGGCCTACACCAGCCACGAGCAGCGGCAGGCCATTCTAGGTCTGTGCCAGCTGGCTCGCCAGGACACTCAGCAGCTGGTGCACGCCTGGGTCGAGGCGGTATGTTGGCACAAGCAGGCTCGCTTGCACAGATGCACATACATCTACAGGAATATTCATAAAAACGTGTCATACCATATTAAGAATCCAGTAGTAGCTCAGTAGAGAAGTACCTCATCTGTAAGAAAAGTAAGTTCAGTATCTTATAAAAGGGAGTACACCTATCACATTTTAGTAAATATTTGATCATATCTTTTCATGTGACAACACTGAAGAAATGACACTCTTTTGCCAGCCCTGAAAAATGTCACAGAGTGTGGCGCCCGCAGTTGCTTGTCTGTGGCTGCACAAAGTTGGAACCACCTTTTTGCCTGATCATTGTTGTAAGCTCATGAGCTTACGCCATCTAGGGGATGTAGATTGTGTCTGACTTGACAGCGGAGGGGAAGGGAGCAACCGAGTGAGAGGAGGTGCGGAGCGAATATTTGCTGCTCAGCGCTGCAGTCCAACATGATAACGACCCCAAACACACCTCTAAGACGACCATTGCCTTGCTAAAGAAGCTGAAGGTAAAGGTGATGGACTGGCCAAGCATGTCTCCACCCTATTGAGCATCTGTGTGGCAACCTTAAACCGAAGGTGGAGGAGCGCAAGGTCTCTACCATCCACCAGCTCCGTGATGTCCTCATGAAGGAGTGGAAGAGGACTCCAGTGGCAACCTGTGAAGCTCTGGTGAACTCCATGCCCAAGAGGGTTAAGGAAGTGCTGGAAAATAATGGTGGCCGCAGAAAATATTGACACTTTGGGCCCAGTTTGGACATTTTCACTTAGGGGTGTACTCACTTTTGTTGCCAGCAGTTTAGACATTAATGGCTCTGTGATGTGTTATTTTGAGGGGACAGCAAATTTACACTGTTATACAAGCTGTACACTCACTACTTTATATTGTAGTAAAGTGTCATTTCTTCGGTGTTGTCACATGAAATGATATAATTAAATATTTACAAAAAATGTGAGGGTTGTGTACTCACTTTTGTGAGATACTGTAAGTAAGATAATAAGATGCAAAACAGAGTTACCCAAGCAAAGAGGAAGAGATCTGGGTTGGGTTACTATTGTCAGTGTAAGGAATGGCTCACACAGTCATTTCCCCTACTCACTTTCTTTTCACACGGCCCTCCTGGAACAACGAAGCATAATAACCCATCCGAAAAATAGTATTTACCGAGGCTTAGAGAGAAACATCACGTAGTGTTCCGCATTTGGCTGCCATTCAGCAGAGTCTCCTTGGCCTTCGAAATTGATTGGGCTTATGAAACAAGTCATTATGTTACAGTTTCTTATTGTAAACGTTCAAGATTACACAGAGAGACGGCTGCCACATATCCGTACAGTAGCGCCTCATCTAGCCTTTGCAATTGAAGGTCATCTGGAGAACTCAACAAACACTGCATTGTTTTGAAATCTTGAGTGTCCTGCCCAGTTCAATTTTGGTCTTGGTTTCTTGTTGTGGCAGGTTTAGGAGCATATATTTGTTTCCAACTGGATTTGTGGAGTCAGACAGAATGAAATTTCAAAAATTGAATATATATATAAATATTTAATTGGGATAATTTGTTTAAGCCATTTGCGTTTGATTTAACACAATTCCATGTTGAAATGCCCGACTTTCTTATTGCATATTCAGAACATAATAGTTCACAAGTGTAATTGGAAAGTCAAAAACTGGCCTGTAAAGCCAAGTTGGGGCTCATATTTTATTCTCCTCTCCCTCTCTCACCGCAGCAGTCTGCCCATGCCAAAGAGGCCACAGAGGACATGGAGGTGGCCATCCTGAAGACATGCCAGAGCGTCAATGACCTCAGACGTGAGGTGAGCGGCAGTCTTTCTCTGCTCTTCTCGTCGGCCCTCTGAGTCTGAATAGATGTACTCAGCTACAGAGTGACACAGACATGACTGAGATGTCTCTCACTGGGTGTTCTGCCTCTGTAGCTGGTTTCCCCCGTTTCTTTTCCCCCATCACTCTTCAGCTTACCTGTCAACTCAACTATGCCATTATGTCACCTCTGCTCTTTTTTTCTCTGCCTCTTCAAAATCCACTCTGCCTCTCACTCATCTCTCATTCTCTTGTGTTTTCTCCAGCCTCCATTACTCGCTTGTCGTCTTATTCTGCAATTTATTCTTTGATTCCTCCTCCAGCTCCATAAGGTGGCAGTCGGCCGTGCCTCAGACTTGCTCAAAGTTCACGGGGAGCAGCTGCCTCTACGGGCTCTTAAAGCCGCAGGCGCTGAGGGAAACCTGGAGGCAGTTGCGGAGTATTCACGCAAGCTCACCGAGCAGAAGGAGCAGCTGGTGGAGGTAGGTTGAGGCAGGCGCAAAGGAAGTAGGGAGGCTGGGAGAGGTTTGGTGGTAGTGCCACCTAGTAGAGGTGTTCATCTGGTAAATAATACACCAGTAGTGTAGTGAAGTTTAGATTTTTCCATATATTTGTCCGTACTCATCAATCTACCTTTTTAGGCAAAACAGCTGACATGCCACAAGCACTTGTTTATGCTAGGAAACACATACAGCTTGAGATGAATGGAAATGTAGACTACACTTCTAATCCGCAACCAAATTAAAGTAAACGTGGTTCTGTTATGCAAACACTGAGCAGAAAACTACCATGCAGGCTTTGTCATATCTTTGCTAGTGGCATAAAAAAACAAAACCTGTAGTATAATTTGAAAAGAGACATTGTGTAGTGGTAAGAGTAAAAACTGGGGAGAAACGTTTTCTTAAAGATGCAGGAATTCACTCAGAATCCACCCACACTAAAAATAAAGCTTAAACACCATTAAAGTTATTTTTATCTTCCTGCTGGACCCACATGAGTGCCTAAGGTTATCGTGTAAACCTCTAAAATATATATATATAAGATCTACCACTGTAAGTAAGGTCGTATGACCACCTATGGTTGTGTTTTTGCCAGTTAGAGCTGAATTGGTAGGCAGGTACTATATATACAGTAACTTTTAACATTCATAACTGCATACACTGCAGTATACCTTTCAAACCTCAGAAGCACCTCCAGTCAATCATTGTCTTCCTTCTGTGACCTCAGACGTGCCGACTGCTGGGCCACGTGTCAGGCACAGAGCCTCTGGAGATTACCTGTGTACATGCTGAGGAGACCTTCCATGTCATTGGTCCACAGGTAACATTAACCCTCCAAACATTTCCTGTATGGATTTTGGTTTTTGGTCGGTTTGATGCTATACCCCATTGACTTGATGTGTAAATGGCAGCAAACAGGGGAGACAGGATCAGTCTCTGGAAAGACATACAGGTTATCTTTGATTAAAACTGAGCCCCGTTTCATTCCATTCAACACTTTTATTGTATGTCAGTAAAGTCAAACTGGTCTCACAGTGGTCTGGGAGTGAAATCAAACCTGAGTAATATTCTACTTAGATGCAGTGGGGAGGGAAAATAGACATATTCCCTCACGTCTCCTCTGTCTGCCTCCTACACCTGCCAGCTATTCAAGATGGCTGAGAACATGCCGTCCACCAAGTCCCCCTATCCCACATCTAATTATGTTTGCTCTTGGAAAAACGTCCATGCCAGTAATTATCCAGCAATGTAGAATGTTCCCGTTCCTGCGGTGCTAATGTCAGGCCCCGCATGACTCCGCAGTAATGACTCCGCTCCTAAGTTCAAAGGTCAGCCAATCAATAACGTTGCAGTATGGGGTGGCGCTGGTGATATGTCTCTCTGTGTGTGCCCAAAGTAATAGAGGGGTGGCCCAGAGGGTAATTGGCTATTAAATACTACACTGTGGAGGAGGGGTGTGGGGCGTGTGTGTGCTTGGGTGTGTGTGTGTTTGTTTAAGTTAGATTGGTCTGTGTAGTTGTCTGAAATCTTATTTCCATTGAGTCTAGAAACCAGACTAGATTGCAGATATTACTAATTGTTACATGTGTTTCAAACATTGCAAGCCTGAGCTCGGTTACGTGTGTGGTGAGATGTGCTAAAATGGACTTATCAACCTTAATCTCTTTATTTTGCACCACATTTTTTTCCTCTGTCTTTTACTGCACTTGAATACAAAATACAACTTTTCTCATTCTTCACTCTGCTGCTCAGATCATCTCAGCAGCCCAGACGCTGGCCCTCCACCCATCCAGTAAGATCGCTAAGGAGAACCTGGAGGTGTTCTGCGAGGCCTGGGAGTCACAGCTCTGTGACATGGCCCTACTGCTGAGAGAGATCAATGACTTCTTTGAAGGCAGGCGAGGTGTGTTTTAGTTTACTAAATGGATACTCGCGTGGATTTGGATTCGTGTGGGCAGGACAGTCAGCACATACATGAGGAACAGAAAGCCTTTCAGAGTGAGAAGCAGAAGCGAACACAGGCAAAATGTGCTGTCAGCGGCATTTTAGCCTGAGAGAATCAAATCTGCTGATAAAACCTTGGTGAATCATTTTGACCGTGAACACTTCAATAGCCTCAATGAAAGTTAAAGTAGGCAAAGCAAGCAGCATGAGCATATCTTTAACAAAAAATTCATCATGGATTGTGGGAAGTATTTTCTAAAAGGAAAAATGTCAATGCCATTAAACACCTGTGCATTCATTCCTCCTCTGTACTCCCTCTCTTGCAAATCAGCTGCTTTTATCCTCACTAACAAAGACTGAGACAGAAAGTACACATAGATACTCAGGCATGTGTGACTGTGTATATTTGCATGTACTGTACATTTGTCCGTGTACACAGATTTACACAGTATGTTTGCATCGGGGAGTGTTGGATATAAATGTCACAAAACGCGCGCTTTCACATTCTGTAAATAATCTCAAAGACAGGGGAAAGATGTTTTGGCATATTTCCAAGATGCGGTTGCCCTCAAGAATGTGACCTTCACATAAAAAGCACTAAATATTTTGAAGTGCACCTCAGCGGGTGAAAGGATCACATCCATCACACATTTGTATTTCCATGGAGCCAAAGTACCGTGTTAAAATGTAAAAAATATGGACACCGTGGAGAGATTTACTTTCATTATTTTCTCCTAATCTTCCTAGGTGAACATTTGGTACATGACAACAAGTTTATCGCCCATGTAGTTGACTGAAAGGAACCATGCTGTTTGTGATGAAAGATAAAAATGTGTCAAGGGTGGACAGCGATAAAAGCAACTCTGTCATTACCATAATTACTGAATAACCATAATTGCCACCCTAAATGTCTGAAAAAGTGTGGAAATCTACACACAGTCATTCAAAGACAAATAACACATGATTATGTTTTGGTTGTTTTGCTTGTGACCTTGTGTTCAGATAATCACAAATAACTCTCTACTCCTAGGAGACAAAAGACCTTATTTGTCACTTCCTAGACCTGGGGTGAGTATCACTCCATCTATCCTCATGAATGTTCCAGTGATCCAATGGTTTGTAATCCTCTGATTAATGTCGCTCTCTTTTTCCACAGAAACACTCACTCACTAACTTGAAGACTGCCAAGGCTGTCAAGTTGGATGCAGAGGTAGCATACGCCATAAACTCCTCTGGCTTTCAGCACAATACATCACATCACTTCTTGTACGCTGTTCTGACAGCGGTATATTCATCTCCAGGAAACTATGTGTCACTCGCTTGAAGAATTGATAGTGTTCGCATAGTAATAGGCTGCAATTTTGCCGGCCGGCAGTTTTTCACATTGTACCGCCACAGGAAGCAGGATAATATGATATAGTTCTTCTCAGTGTGTAAACAAATTAAAAGAACACTGTTTGCTAATGTACATTTTTAAAATGACACACATTATATTTCAATCTTTCCCATATAGATTTTATTTATATGTGTGTGTCTTTCTTTGTGTGTGTGCAGGAGCAGACTAGCATGGCCAAGCTGGGTCTGGAGCTTCGCCTGCTCTCGTCAGATGTGGACACAGAGGTGGAGAAATGGGAGGAACAAGAGAACGACATTGTCCGGCAGAGCCAGAGCCTGGCCAGCATGGCCTACAACATGCACCTGTTCACCAGGTCCCCGAACAGTACCACACGCTACACAGACGCGCACATGCCTTGATTGTATATCTGCAGCCTGCTGAACTGTTGCATTCATTTCAGAGCTCAACACTGTAAAGCCTCTTAAGCATCCACATGAATCTATTTAGAAGCTTAGTGTTAATGAGAATCCCCCCTCCAGCTATCGATAGGCTCTGACAAAGTTGACATGACTATAACTCATTCTGACAATAAGATGGTTGCGATTCATCTAAGTTTTTGATTGCTGTGGATCTATTTGTCCTTATCCAGCTTCTCATCCATGTTTCCTTTCCTCATTTTCTGTGTTTCCTATATTGATTACCCAGAGGGGAGGGGCTGCTGAAAACAACACTAGATCTTTTCATCAAGCTGAGGTATGTGTGTCCATATCCACTAATCTTTCTTCCTATCCACCTTCTATACTATTTTCCTCCCCGTTTTATCGACGTTGCAAATGAATGCATCTGTTGTTTCATTAAACCAAAGACACACTGGGGCTGGCAGATCAATAGGTTAGTAAATGCCAGCATCCCCTCATTCACTTCCCTCTCGCAAATCTGATAGGGCATGACTAGGACTTATGATTGCGATGTGGAGTGCTGTTTGTTCCTGGCCATCATCAGACACATAAGTTGATAACAAACAAGGTTTGTATCCTCTTGAATTGCGATCAGTGCCAATAATGTGCAGTAATGTAGAATCGGGGCCCAAAATGCCAGGCAAGATTTGTTCCATTTGGAGTGAGCGAGGGAGATAAGAGAGGAAGAACGATAGGGGAAAGAGAAGGGAAGGCGTACTGATAAGAAGAGCCAAGAAAAAGTTCATTCTCATAATACTGTGCTTTTTCTGGCATTCAAACGGCATCTTGTTGGAACTTAAAAGAATTATAGTTTTGCTTGTATTTATGTGAGTTTTTTGATTTTTGTCTCTTTTTTTCTGACTCATTCTTAAGGTTTTCTCTGAAGAGTGCCTCCAGCTGTGCTCATCTCTCCGCACTTTTTGCACCCAGGTATATACTATTAAAAGTCTCTTACTCTCTTGAACATACACCAACAGTTTAAGGCTGAATTCCAAATCACGATGTGCTCACATGATACCATTTACAAATATGTTTGCTCATTATGCACTCTAGAAAAAAAGAAAGAAGCAATTAAATTAAGAATTTTGATTCTTGATTCTCTGGTGAAATCAGTATAGGAGTAAGAAACAGAAAGAAATAAACCAAATGAGAAAAGAAAACTGCTTATTTTCTTTTACCCAGTATGTACAGTAAACCCATCTGTATGCAGACACACACTGGCACCTGTGCCCCCACCCATGTTACACCTCTCACGCACATACACACCCATATCACCCTTTCTGGCATGCCACGGTCCCAGGTCCTCCTTATAAATCACACAGCAAGAGCAGGAAATTAAGGCTGTCACACACTTTCACCATCCTTTTTTCCTCTCCGAGTCGAGATCCAACAAACAAACGTAGCCTCTGTGCCTTCGTTCCACTTGCCCTCTACCATCTTCTTCCCCAGGTCCTCCCAAGTTTAATTAAACGGCTCTTTTTGACAGCCATTAACGGCTGCCATTTGTCACCGCTGCGTATGTTTGCGCACATGTGCGTGTGTGGAGGGGATGAGAGCGTGGGAGTTGACTACGACCGCCCGGGACTAATTCATAATCAGGAGGCCCAGCTCTTCAACTTGTCTCACGCTTTCTGATTAATTACATCAAACAAACTGTTGCTAATGGAGTCCCTCTGTCTCACCCTCCACTCCCATAGTTCTTTGGCGTCAAACACACTTGTAACACACCTGTGTTGCCCTCATTGAAATTATGAGGCTATTTATGCAAATTAGCTTGAGCATTTTTAATTGTTTTTATGTACTTTTGTCAGTCATGAGTAGCGCTAGCCTGAATAAAAGAGCTTGTGTTTTTTTAGGTCATTGTTGGCATGCAACTGGAGTAGATTGATGGCCCCCGTGACAGAGACCTAGGGATTAACTCAGCTGGATAACAGATTTAAGCAGTAGATCATGACCTGGCTGTTGCGGAGGGATTACATCAAGCAGCACTAAATTTGAATTTATTTCATCCTCCTTTTTCCTTTTTGTGATGCTTGATTTGTGTTTCACCAAGTAAATCTATCAATGTCTGTACATATTAACCCAGTCTCCCTGGATAATGCCGCCATAAACCATCCCTGCTGTCCTGTAAGACATCTCTCTCTCTCTCTCCCCCCCCCACCCCCCACCCCCCCCTTGTTCCAGCTGGTTGATGAGGAAAAGTCTGTGCTGATGACAGAGATGGAGAAACTGGTGGCATTATGCCAACAGCTGCAGATGGGGTCCAAGACTCCTGTACAGGGCAAGACTGCCACCTTCCAAAAGGTACCCATGTGTATCTAAATTTTGTTTGTAAAAAAATTAATGACTTATTTTTTGTTGTTTGGGGGCCATTAAATGAGTAAATCACACAGAACAGACTTTCTTTAGTTTTTTTTTCTTAAAGCGATAATTTGCTTTCACAGCATCAAAACATATCCAACAACAGACAGGCATCAGTGAAGCACTGAGCACACATGACTAACCAATAGAGCATGACTAACTTACTTCATTACTGGCCACGGCGTAGTCTTTGAGTGATCTGAGTAACACCATTATTGAACACAGGGCGCCAGATTAATGAATGTCTACGAGGAATTAATGAGCATCTTGGGCAGGGATGAGCTGGCTTAGGTCACCTTGTAATAAAGGGGAAGGTTAGAATCAAAAGGACAGGATGAAGAATAGCATGTCCTCTGCTGATTAATGAGCATCTCTTTGATATGTATTGCCTCCCATCTCTGTCTCTCCATCCTGATGTTCACTTTTTTTCATCACTAATGGGATAGTATGTGTCTGTCGGGGGGTGGCACAGTAGAGCACTGATCAGAAAATGTTAAGCGAAATGCTAATCGCAGTTTAGATGGTGATGTGTGCGCATGGTTAGTAGTCTTCGCGGTGGATGTGTTTTTATGTTCTTCTGCATTTGTATCTAATGTGTTTCCATGCTGCCCCTCTTAAACTTTTTATTTTATCTTTGTCTCTAGGTGGACTCATCCATTCAGACAACCAGAAACATCTTGACTGTGGTCGTCTCTCTCCTCCCATTCTGTAACAAGCTCAACAGAAAGGTGAAGCCACTGAACAGGACTCATGGCTGAATGAATGACCGGCACTAGTGTTAGCTTGGGGGGGGGGGGCGTACACAGCAGCCTGTTGCAGCTGAAACCCATTCTGATGAGAGCAGGGAAAGTGAACCAGATCAGTAAAATTGTGGGCCAGAAAACCAAAATAATGAGCTAAAAGATGCCAAAACACTACATAAAGCTCAGGGGAACTGCATAGTTGAGTGAAAATAGATAAAAGTATGTTGTTACATTTGTTTTCTCCCATTTTGTTGAAGAATTTTTATTTGCACATACATGCAACGGCATAAAACCAGGTAACAGAAGTTTCATTTATTATTTATTTAATGCGTTTATCCAAAGCAGCTTACAAAAAGTGCATTCAGCTATGTGGCTACAACCCCAAAATTGCAAGAATAAAGCATCAAATTCATCACATATGCTGAACTGCTTGAAGTGCTACATTTAGAAACAATAACAGATAGACAAAGAGTTGACAGAGAGAAATAAAACAACTGGCAGAGGCGAGGTCATTTTTTCAAAAGATAGCGAGCCCTTGATTTTCAGATTTTGTTTCCTTCCATTCATCACCTATACATGCTATGTCCGCTTTCAGTACAAGTCAGAGAGGAGTAGCCTGGGTTCCCCGCAGGACTGGAGAGAGAGGCAAGATGGATCCACACCTGTCAAAGAGGAAGGAGCTCTTAACAGCAAGAACAGCAACGGCTTGGTGTCAAGTCCTTGGAGCAGCACATGGCCGGTCTCAACCTCCTTGAGAGCAAATAATCCCAGAAATAGTTGCCTCCTTTGTCCATTATTCTCCCTTGGAGCAGCACATGGTCAACCTCACCTTTCTGGAAGATATGTAATCCAGGAAATACTTCATTCCCCTCATTCTCATGCACCCACCACCAGATCTGTGGGGTGAAGATAGTTTCCTGGGTCGGTCAGAGTTTGTATTTGCTGTCTGGATGATGAATTGAAAGTTTACAGAGATAGAAGCAGATCCAAGCTCTAAGTGCCCAGGGGCAGTTTTACCCCCAGGGTAGCGCTGCACATTTTTCCGCACCAGTTCCACCCCAGTCCACAAGATGGAGACAATCAGCCAACACTATGACTTTACCATTTTAAGTGAGCCTATTTAATTAAAGAGGGGCCTGACACACACCTGCTTTTGGAGTCAGTTGTATCACTTCTCTGGATATTGAGTTGATAAACTGATCAGAAATCAGGAAAGAACCCCTCTTGATGCTCAGCCATACATCTCTCTTCAGTATGTGCCTCTGTGTGACAAGCCTATTTGTTTTGTGGTGTACTGTAAACGTGTTGCACATGTTAGCCAAATGGAGGGCACAGTGAAATGGCTAACAACCCACCATGCATGATGCCATCATCACCAAACCCTTGTATTTGTTTGTGGTCAATGTGTCATACGTTTGTTAACACTTGTTCTGTAATGTTAACCATAGTGGTACATTCTGTCCTTGATCACTGCCATTGCAGTTAGCATCTCACTGGGATAAATAAGTATTTTAAAAGTCAGCCATGCCATATGATTAATGTCTAATTTCCATACAGTTTGCTATGGAATAATCCCCATGTGCCATGTTAGTAACAAAATGCAAAAATCACAATTTAATGCCAAATATGATTGTTCTCATGAAGACGCTGATCTTCAGCTTGCTTCTTGTATTAAATATAAAGCTCTTAGTCCTCCTGTGTACATCACTGGAGATTTTTTATTCCGGCCTGGTTTCTCCAAAAACTCGGAAGATAAACATAAAGTGTATCACTAAGATGCTTTTGGGATGTCAAGACCTTACTTATACTGTCCTGGTGATTATAAATCATATATATGTATACTGTTAAACATTTTTTCTCACATATGATATGAAAGATATTTCTGAACTGGCACCTGTGTCAAATGGAGCCTTGAAGTGTACTTGTTATGAAGACATCATTGTGAAGCTGCCTAGTTGGCCAATATGTATTAAATGGTATATGGTATGTATAAAAATGGTACGTATGTGTGTATACGTACACACACACGCACATATTATAATATATATATATATATACATATATATATACACACACACACACACACACACACACACACACACTTTAAGTATCCTCAGATAATGACTTTGGTACTAGGTGAGGGTGTGATAGTGACTGAAATGAATAACATACATTCAGCTTTAGAGATGCTTTGTACAGTGTAAGAGCAGCTAAGGATGCTGGGTATTGTAGTGGCGCTACAGATGTGAAGAAATCATAGATCTAGTTTTGGACCATCTATTCTTTTGAAAATTGAAAGGTTAATAAAGGTGATGCATAAGAAATAAACAATATTTTTCTTAAATCACTGTTCGTCTTATTGACATTCTATAAAAATAATTCAAACTGAATATTCAGGGTTCAGGGTATTTAACAAACAGACTTGTTTTTGTCTGTAATTGCAACTGTAATTTGTCATGCTTTCCTCTATTTTCCCATTTTTTTTAAATGAGAAAAACCAAACAATAAATAAAGAATGCTTCCTGACACCCTCCTCAATTTCCAACACAATGAAATGCAATGTGTAATAGTCTAGAGAGGCACAGTACAGTGCTTGCATTATACACAACAGTCCCTTTGATATGACCAAACATAAACTGTCACTTTCCAGTATAATGTTTCCAGTCTTCATCCAAACTGGTGGGAGTGGAAAGGAGGGAAGCTCTCCTAGAATACTTTTTGACTGAAATAAGGCAAAAACATGGAGCTCTGTCAAGTGGGTTGTGACTGGGCTGCAGTGCGTTTGGAAACAACACTCTCAAACTCCTCTCTGCTCAGAAGATTCTCTGTTATGCTCTTGCTCTCCTCAAACTTTGGAAGGATGACAGCAATGTATCCTTCGGGGATGGCTGTTCAGATTGGACAAAGTACAAGTACAACAAAGTAAAAAAAT